GTAACATTAGAGTAAGTATGATAGAGATGGACAGACAAGCATGTGCTTCTCTTTATGAAAGTATCCCATAACATGACATTTTGGCTAGATGCATATCGACCTATTTTGGTTTTGGATATTTGGAAATCCACAGATAGAAAGATTAAACATGGCTTTTTTATGTGACGGTGTTTCAAGACCGAGATAAAATTTCGCTATTCTTTCCACCCGTTGATAATCCAGACGAAGTCCAACATTTTTAAATAACAATTTTGATAACGTAAAAAATATCTCAAATCATTAATTGCAATAGTATCATTAAATACAGAAGGTTTTCTTAATATGTGTATTTATTTAGAAATACAATAAAATATAAAAATACAATTTTCACTTATAGTGGTGTTAGTTGTATAAATAGCATAATGAAATACATAGATGATCGTTTATTAACACAAAGCCTTGTACACAAATCACAACTAAAATAAAGAAAGAAAATAACTTACAATGAGAAGAATGAAAATAATAACAATTTCAAACTGTGTGTTTCAACAGAAGAGTTATTTAATAAAATAAAAAAAATAACACTTTAAGTGGTTTAAACGAAACGTCGGGACATAGCTAAAATTATTTAAATAAGTTACCATATATATTTGACATTTTAAAACTTCAAAAGTCTTTTATGTAAATGTGTACTACTTCTGTAAAGAATATTCCGACAGTTAAATATTGTTACATTTAATGTTTTTCCAATTACGTTACGAAAGGCACTAAATATCAATTTCCCTGGAGGTTAATATTTCTTGGCCAAAAGCGGTATTGAATAAACTTCAAAGATATTATCAGCTTGAAAAACCTACAGAAGATCTATTGTGCTGAAATTTTTATAATATTTTTTTCAAAGAACTATTTTTATCGCGAGAGTAAAAAAAACGTTGCTTACGATCTTTTGGTATAATAAAAATAAATAGTGTTTAAATTAGTTTATCCATTCGGTATCCCCTTGGCTATATTCAACAAAAATGTAGATTTTTTAATTTTTTTAATTAATAAAATAAAAATAAATAGTGGTGAAATAAGTTTGGTTTTAACTTTAACCTTGCAATTCGTTCGCTATGTCGCGAGTTTTTTAGTCTTTGTTAGATTTATACACGCGAAACCGTTAAGACCTAAAATAATTTGACGTCACTAATCTGTTTAAAAATTAAAAAAAAAACCTAGTCCTATTCAATACAGTTTCGACTGTTCGAATTAAACTGTGCCGGCCCAGCTTCATAAAGCCTTCGGGACGTAATCACAGGCGTTTAGTACCACAATTGGCTCTGTCTCCCGCTCCGACGAGAATTGTTTGGCGAGTAATAAACGCTTCACAGTTTATTCTGAAACACGACGCAATAACGCTTTTGGGTGCGCGCAGATTATAAATATTGAATCGTAAATGAATTCTTGTTACTGTGTTGTTGAAATGTCAATAGGTATAACATACACAAACGAATACGGCCAGTTCAAATATCACAAAATTTAAATACTGTCTATAGTTGACGCGAGTAGAACACATTTAAATAAAACAAGTTAACGGTTAAAAACGCGATATATATTATTGAAACTTATTTTCACGGCTTACCACGGCTGCTGCAAAGCGTTCGAAACTTTTGGCCAAAGAAGGTTTTTCAAGTAAGTTTAACTTCTACATATCGCGTTTGAAACTCGGTTTTTTCATATCAATCTAGTTTTTGATCTGAAAATCCTTTTAATGTAAAGCCAAGGTTTTAGCTATCTAGGCTTATACGGAGCTTAGATTGAAAAGGGAGTTGTCTCTCGCAGCGTATGTTATCAGGGTATAGTTTCTTAGTACCTGATCAGTACATACATAAAAAGCTTCGCCCAAGTTTTACAAAAGTACCCTTTGCTAAAACGAATTTGTTAGGTAAAGCGTCCTGGACAAGAGCAATAGAGGCAGTAAACTTACTTCATAGGCAAAAAGACGATTTCTATGATGCATGGAGTGAGCTCGTGAAGTGTTTACAGTTTATGATTTTATATGAATTATAAAATAATAAGCTGATAATTACTTAATAGTAAAGTAATGATATTTAATAAGTTATAAGTCATAGTTTAATTGTATTGTATATTCCTATCTTAGTTCAGTGTTGAATTTGGCTCCCACCTGTTATGGCATTGACTTTTTTTATGATGATAAATAAAAACTATTATACTATAATACACTTTTATAATATAACACTAATTAATCTACCCAAAAATGTGATTACATATTTGAAAAAGAGAAGCGTGATGATATGCATTATGTGTTGATCATGATGTATTTGTGTGTGTTAGAAGGTGATTGATATAGATTATGTGTGATGATTTGAATGACTTTATAAGTCACTGTTAATATAATTCGCATATTAACTCGTTTAAAAGTTATTAAATAAAGTACTTCTCCAATTAAGACTTTGCTTAAAAACTTATGTTTTATATTATGTTTAATCAAAGTGATTTTATTCAATATACAGTATGTTAATTAACTCTTTTACCAATAAAATGGCTCTCACTACAAAGGATTTAATAAAGAAATTACTTACTAAAGAACTTGCGCATACATGCTGTTGAAGTTTGGTTTTTCGCAATTATATTGAGAAAATCGAAAACAAATCGTTTTCACTTAACTTGGTTTTGACCTTTTAATAAATACTAAATCAATTTTAAAACGGAGACTACTTAATTCTGTAACAGAACCAAAATTTTCAATATTGTTATTTTACTTTTGTTTGATGTTATAACAGGTAAAAGTAGAGACTACAAAGGTTAACTTTTGATAAAATTTGATGAAATAATATAACTTACAAGTTAAAATATACAAGAACTTACTTTCATTTTGAAATAATAATAAACGCTGCTTTTATGAAAATTTTCTTTTAGTTTTTTTTAAATACTGACATCGATTATAAAAAGGACTGTGTTAAAATAAAATACTTTATATATCGCGTTTTGAACCGTTAGTGTTTTATTTTTAATGTATACTCGCGTAACCTATAAATAGTATTTAATAACTATATTGTTATTTTATCGTATTGCGTTCCTTCATTTGGGCTTCTATTCATTAATAATTTATATTTTTTTGTGTAATATGTTGTATTTTGTCCTGAAATTCTGGACAATGAATGGTTGGTAAATTTATCTGGGTCACCACCACAACGGTCCACAGATAAAAACGATGTAATCATAAATGCTTCTAGGCTTGAATCTGTAGATTTCCAAAACCAAAATAGGTAGAAGGTATTCACAATCCATTGTGTGAACCCCGTGCTTGTCTTGTCTATACTACTATCATAAAGGTGAAGAGTGTTTGTTGGAACGCGCTAATCTCAGGAATTATTGGTTCGTTCTTTTGATGTCAAGGAAAACTAGGCTATATAATATCACGCTGCATAGGAGCGAAGAAATAGGGGGAAATTGTTCATTTATGAATGTAAAGCAAGAAAGCAAAAGATATGTATGAAAAACTTCATAAGGGCATATGTTTAGATATTTAAATTGTCTAATCAAATGTCCTTTAAAGTTAGTCACTTTTAAGGCAAACTTGTTACAACGACGAGACGTGGACAGAGCTGAGGGCACAGCTAGTCTGTTCTGTATTGAAATACCTTATATTGCTTTCGCGTCTGTAAGAAAGGGCGAGACGCTACAATCGACAATATTATCTTCTGTTAATTAGAAAATGTTTTATCGATAGACATGGTAGGTTACGCGCCCAACCTTGTCGAACGGTATTAATTTACCAATTAAATAGGACAGAGCCGTGTTGCTGTCGCCAAATATATAATAGATATAACCTCCATAAGACCTAACTACTGAACTGAACAAGATGTGAACCTATTTTGGTTTTGGATATTATTAAATACAGATTGTAACCAACCCAACTTTTTACCTTTTCGAGGCCCAGGTGATTGTTTCAATTGTAATTAGTTAAATGTAGTTTACGCGAGTAGTATATAATTAAATAAAACACTTTAACGGTTTAAAACGCGATATATTTTAATTCAACTTGTTTGAAAATTATTTTTAACTACGGCCCGACGTTTCAGATGCTTTGCAGCAGCTGTGGTCGCGGGGAGACTATTTTGGGAAATAATTTTCAAACAAGTTTAACTAAAATATATCGCGTTTTAAACCGTTTAATAAAGTGTTTTATTTCATTGTAATTAGTTCTTAAAATTGTTTTGATTTAATGCTATTTTTTCCAAAACATATATATTATTGAGTACTGACTATATAACAAATATTTAAATAACCCAACATGTCGGACCTTTAGAATAAATACCAAAATTTTGCCTTTTGACCTGTTGTCTGTGCTCCTATATTATACTCCTCCTATATCATTTCAATAGTACTATATAAAACTTAAGTAATTTAATCACATACTCGTGGTAATGATAGGCAAACATGAAAGTTATTGTTTGGATGGATAAAAAATACGAGCTGTTAAATTTAATGACGCGTGGGTGGGGACTAATGGTATAATTAGTATGTAATCTAAATAGAAAGTATAATAAATTAAAAGGGCCATTTTTATGTACCATTTGGGAGTGTTTTACAAGTTTGTAGGTTGATACTGAAATTAAACATGAAAGTCAAAATTCGATAGCTGTAGTTGTACCCTAGTTATTAACATTTATTATTGTAAATCTCCATCTTCAAGGTTGCCTGAAATAAATCGCTTTTTAGCGATAAGGCCTTTTTCTCGCTTCATTTTGGATTTTTAAATTAAGTTTTATTTTGTAACATTGGTGACAATAAAGTATTTTTTGTTTGTTTGTCGAGAGTGCATATTCGTGAGACGTTAAATGTCTGCGTTATTACATCTTTCCTCAAGTGGTCTCGATGATTGCCTGTCCTTCTCTATTACAAAAAAACTAAAAATAAAAAATAGATTATACACATTTATACATATCATTGTACAGTTCCCTATAAAAGTAGTAAAAAGGAAATCATGCCTGTTTAATGTTCCTAATTTGTTTCAGCCTCAGTAGCTCGTATTACGAAATTCCTGGGCAATTCCGGGATCCCTTTAATCACAACTGGAGGGTTCACCTTTGACTTTGTCACGCCCAAACAGACTTGCGACGACGAGTTCTATATGCTGGTGCGAACCAGCCCGCTGGGTTTTAAGGACATGGCGTATTTCATCATAGATGTTATGAGGCAGTAAGTATTTTTTTATTACCCATAGTAAAGATCAGGTCGCGTATATTAAAACGACACACAACGACCAAAAGACAATAATGACGAAAATTAAATAGTCGTTTATTATGCTTTATTTCAAATTTCGAATGATATTATTATCTGTGGTTTAAAGAAATAAATTTAATAATAAGAGGTTTACGGTTATATTTGTTTATAGTGTAGTTAAATGTTATATTTTATTTAAGAGTGGGCACTGTGTGGCACTACCTGCACTTATAAGATAGAATAGGTATAAATTAAAAAGGATATCTTCTATAGTCGATTTGTCTACTTTCAATCAACGTTTGGGCTGTCTTAAGAATGATTTGTTATAAATATAATTAAAAATCAAAGACTGTCGCATCGATTCGAACTCACTTATTGATTAAAGTTATTTTTGAATAGATAGATAGTTTGATTTTTAACAATATTAATAGTAAAATTGAGTAGGTATTTACAAATATAAGGTTTTCATGCACAGTTTTTTGCACGGTCTTCGGCACTAACACTATTGTATTTCGCGCCACCTAGCTATGACTGGCGACAACTACTCCTCATCAACGAACCCGAAGCCCAAGTAGACGTCGCGGGCAAATCCACATGCCACCTCATGATGAAGACGTTTGCAAACTTTCTCAAAATAGAAGATATAATCTACACACCATGGGACACAACCTCCGACGGCGGCTTAAATCATACCGAAAATCTTAAATTTTACCTCGGATATAAATATACAAGTAAGTGAGTACACAGATTTTTATTTTAGCACCTCTAGTTACTGATAAGCGACTTAGTTAAAGCTTCGTTACATAGAGGGCGCTTAACGAAGCTTTAGTTCATCGAAGCGTGTATAGATGGCGCTGTATTAAACTACATTTAACAGATTCGATTGGAAACGAACAGTGCTCTTGTACGAAACATCAGCGTTTGTCGAGTACGTCGGTGTACGTGGAGGGCATTTACTGGCCAGCACCATACATGATTTCTTGATACGGGAGGCTTTCCACGTTTACGGTAGAGAATTGCAACCGCACGTGCCAGCAGCTGAAGCACTGTTAAAATACGTCGGATATGATTATACCAGTAAGTGGGCCTAAGGTCTGGAGTCAAGGGATGGGTGCACCGGTTTGAAATTAATATTGCATACTATTTGCAGAGGTGTTGCGATATTTATACTGTCTACTTCAATTTAATTAACATTTATCTATATTCATTAAGTGACCTTCAATGCAAAATAATGTGCATTTCGTGAATGTTTTTTTGTAGTATTTAGCCAATATGAACCGCAAAGGTCGTATTTTGAAGAGGGTGGCTCTCGTGCGTCATAGTCTTATTTAAATATCTTTGAGGTAAATGAGAATCATAAGCTAATAACTTTAATTAATATATGCAGATAGATATTTTGTTAGCCTTGATGTAGTGTTAAATTTCCGTTTACAATTCTTTAGGACGCTGAGAAAATTGAAAAGTACAGTATACATAGCAATGTCACACGTGTGAAGGCACCATAAGGGTTTTGGAATCGGCGTGCTTGCTTAAAAGTGTACCTCAATGCGTAATATAATTATATATGACATCTAACGTATGTCACTAAATTTGAACCCCACTATTTTGTAGCGTTATGTTGAATGAACATTTTAAAAATAAAATAAAACGTATTTATTATATGTATATAGATAGTATAAGGCTGTATGTATGACTCAATTCCCTAGGGCAAGTATAAGTCGTAACTTGTAGGTGACTACTTGTTTCTTTTTCTTACGATAGACTTAGAAAGACAAGCGTGCGGTTTATTTACTGGAAATAACCCAGCTCCATATAAGATCTTGACAAGATACGCTGTCGACCTAAAAACTATAAATTTTTTCTATTATACAATTCATTAAGTTTATTCTTATATTCTTTTCTTTTATTTATATCGTGAAAGAATACTAATTTTGTGTGCACGTGTGTAGTTAGCGCGAGCAATACCTATCTATCTAAATAAACCCTTTTAATAGTTTCAAACGCATAATACATTAGTTTTAAACCGTTAAAAGTGTTTTAATATGATCATTGTTGCATATTTTTATTTTAAATTAAAAATCTAGTAAGATACTTTTTTTTTAATATAATTTTGTCCATAGTGCTTAAACAGCTAAGGACGTGGTCTCCCCTTCCTCGATCAGAAGGGACCTGGTCTACTTATTCACAATTATATATACTTATGCCAAACTTATTATTATTACGCTATCTATATCTATTTACCTTAAATTCTGTTTTATTAGTTTATATTATGTCCACTACTTCTCTTATTTTCTAAGAGAAGCCGGTCTATTATTTTACAACAGTACTTAAAGAAGATGGGTCTTAATTTTGTATCGCTCACAAAGAATTTAAAATTTTCCGGGATTACTAATGTATTTGTCGCTGCATCGACGTCCATCCTCGAACGCATGCTCACAGGAACACGATGGATCGTTTTATTTAAATCTATTTACATGTAAAAAAATTACGACGTTGGACTTGAACAGCATCAAGCGTGCTGCTGCCGTAACCAATATTTTTAATTTAAGCATATTTTGGGTTATATAACAAACAAACGACAAAATAATACAGTCTCTAGGTTAAATATTCAATTTATTTGTCAAAAACGCTATTTCTGTGTATTTATAACCTTGTTTTCGTGAAAGAAAAATTACAAATGAAGACACGGAATTTTTTGTGACGTAGATGCCTATTGTACGCAACTTGGACAAATTCGGGCTACATCATTAATAGGTACAACTGAATTTTGTTATAATTGTACAAAACCACAGTTATCGTCGTTATAACGATTACAAGGGAAATATGCTTAGTAAATCATTTAAACTCCCTAAGGCTTAACTTACTTTAAGGAGATTTAGACGTTTTTTTCTTTTGGTCCAAGTTTTTGGATTGTGGAATTGTTATAGGAGTATTTTATTAATGACAGCGCAAAGTGTTGAACCAATTTTTTGTAACATTGTATGTTCAGCAGCAACGTAAACCATCGTATTCACTTGGCTTTGCCACTTTAATCCCAGTAAAGAAAAAACAACGAAATTCGCAATACTTTTTGTTTTCAAACTGTTCGGCTATCGTGATTGAGAAATTGTCATCAACGCGTGATGTCGAAAAATATTTCTTAATTACGACGACGTTTACATTTATAACTTTGAATTTTTTTTTTTCATACACATTTTCGGACATTAGATAGTCTGTAGTTTATCCGAGTAATAAAACACTTTTAACGGTTGAAAGGCGAAAGGAAGAAACTTTTTTAAATTTATTTTAAATACGCGATTTATTTAATTAAGCGAAGAAATAGATTGTATGTAAGTTAACCAATACATTTCACGTTTTGAATCGTTAAACGTGTTCTATTTACACAGATTTTCTTTACATTTCTATACGTCAACGCACGGCCCCTAGAGAGTCGCGATATAGATAATGATAGAGCTTACTGAAATAACAAAAGCATTAAAATTAATATTGTTGTTCTTCTCGAGTGACCGTGCAGACTCTTATTTATGGCAACATAAATTATTCGCTACTTTTAGGAAAAAATAAATTGTCGGCCTCGCAATTTTTCTTCGTTGCCAAATCGAATAAGTGAAAAATTACTCCGATCCAGTTTATGCGAAACAAACAGTAGGGATAGGCTAGGTATCAAATTGATGATAGGTATTAAAATAATTAATTTTCAATTTAATAGGAATAGCTAACAACTGTTCATCTTACGTTTACGCAGTTGTTAGCTTTTAAATTAAGTGAAGTGTAAAGAAAAGAAAGGCCAATAAACCATATTTCTACAGAAGAAGACTATACTTTTTCGTATCTTATATATTATATTGTTATTGTTGTGTATTTGTATCTTGTCATATGTATCTTACATTGTAGTTAAACGCATATTAAAATATTCTTCTAGTCCAAGTGTACATAGATTATTACATAATATTCATATTTAAATAAAAAATTATCGCGTTTTAAACCGTCAAAGTGTTTTATTTACATGTGTATTACTCGCGTCTGTAGACAGTAAACTGTCTAGCTTACACATTTAAATAAAACACTTTAACGGTTTAAAACGCGATATATTAGTTAAACTTATTTGAAAATGATTTTTAACTTGGCCGCGTTTCGTATTACTATGTACTAGTAATACGAAACGTATGTACTGTAAATATGAATATTAAATACTATAGACAGTATTTAATATTCATATTTATTAAGAGAGCTATTTATAAATGGGTATTTACAATACGATTTCTACTTTCGTAAATATATGTGATATTTATTTGGCAATATACAACACTAAATATTAACATGAATCATACAAAACAAGTAACAGTTGTCAAGTAAGACAAAGCCATTTTTATTATGTAAATCATTAATTCAAGATATGTGAATATTACAGAGAATTGCAAATTTAGAAAACGTGTTTTGTAGTAAGTTAAATTTGTAATGAATCTTCAGAAAAATTTAAATAAACTTAGAGTTCGTTGATATAAAGTAATTATAGTAAAAATGGTAACCATTTTTTTTCTAGAGCTATAGCTCTATGATATAAAGAAAGCCTGAGAGAGAGAGAGAGAAAATCTCGAAAGAAGATTTGCAATTTCTTTTACATTCTGTGTTTTATCTGTGTGATTGAACTTGTAGAAGGGTTGTACGCAAGTGCTTATAATTCTTTTATTCCTAAACAAATCCCTGGTAATTTATAAGTAAAAAAATAGACATTGTACCACTATATTTGCTATATGAATACTGTTTTTTAGAACCTTCAAGCGAATATAATAAAAGTATTTCACAGTATTTCCCAATTCTGCCTAGTTTATAGGCTTATAGGTAACACTTATTTATAGTAATGCAAAAAAATATTTTTTACAAGAAAACATACTTAACTTTAAAAACTCTAATATTTTCCAATATATATATGAATTAAAAATGATAATAAATTAAAAAAATTTACGACTCGGGCTGGATTGGAACCGAATCCCACACTACTAGGTAGCTCAATTGGTAAGAACAGCACGGAACGCTGAGGATCCAAGTCCTGTTCAAGTCGTACATTTATCAATTTACTATCGATTTTTAATTCACACTTAACTTTCATTACTACTGTATGTATTGTCTGCTTATGGCAGCGGCCGTAGTTTAGAATGAAATAACTAATACATTTCCTGTCTAAAACTTTTTTTTTTAACAAATATATATTTATTTATTATATATAAATAAAAATAATAGCAGCACGCAATTATATTGTTTAATCAATTGTTAATTTTAAATATAAATGTAACTAATTTTAAAGAAATGTAAATAATACAAAAGTAAATTAAAGTGAAAAAAAAGTAAAGGGAAACTTACGTAATTATATATTGTTAAATCATGCGGGACAACTGACTAAAAATGTCTTTTAAATGTGCTTTCCTCGCTCCGGAATATATTGATTTCTCTTTGCGTAGATCCTGAAGACATATTAGGTACAGCCAAAAAAATCTGAACCTTGCATTATGAATAGATGATGTACGCAAGTAGCCATATGAGTATGGTTTGTTTTATATGATAGAAAGTAGGAATAAACTTATAGTCAGTATTATATTAAGTAAGATTTTAAAATGTTAAAATTTCAAACACTTTCAAATAAATACTTGAGTTATTTCTTTGATCTTGCATAAAGCAATTCCCAAAAGAGAAGGAAAAAGTACACCCGAATCACTAAAGTGGCCATTAAGAAATTAAAACGCGGCCCTTTTATGAAATGTAAGTAGACCTTTAAAATTTCATTTTCAGTTGTACTGCGTCGAACTAATCCTTTTGCGTTTAATATTGCAGAGTGCCTTTGTCGCGGTTACTCTTTTGTGTAATGGTTTCAGGTTGTGAATGCAGTTGATGAAAATTTACTGTCATTTCGAAATATATTATCTCATTACTCTAACTATAGAACCTGTGCCTATGATAGTGGGTTATGTAAATGTATTGCCTAGCATTCGAATTATGATAAAAAATAATTACAATTGGGCAAAGTAATTAATAATCAAAGGTCTCTATGTCCCACGTTGGAAATCGGGATTTTCTTCACAAACATAAGTAACAT